CCCCAGCCCCAGCTCCTCCCCCAGTTCTAGCCGCAGCCCCAACTCTAGCTCCTCCCCCAGTTCCAGCTCCACCCCCAGGTCCAACCATTGACTCACATGAAGAATCAGAGGAGCAGCGAGTGCTCCATAAACACAGCTGCAAACTGAAATCTTCTAAATGAGATTATTTGGCTCAGTCAAAGTGAAATATTTCAGGAACTGAAACAAAGAAGCACAAACATGTGACTCGTCCAATCTCGGTGCCATGTTTTAAAAGGACACATTCAGTAGTACCCAAGCAAAAGCAGTCAAACCGGTTTGTGCCTGAAACAGCAGCCTCTGCGTCCCAGTTACATTTAGAGGAGTTTTTAATATTTCTATCATATTCAAATCCTTTGATTTCACTGTGACCTCTCCCTGACTGTCACAGCACCTCTGGTACTTCTCACTGCCACTCTGAGAAAGGCTCGCTTTAAGTCTGGCTGCGTCTCCCAGCTGATGGTCGGGAAACATCTGCCCCTGACCGAGACCAGAGCAGATGTGCAAACACTTCTGGGTCATTTCAAGGCAAACACCAGGCTGTTGGCCAAGAGCGACAAACACTCTGCTCTCAGCATCTCCACGTAGAAGCTATCAGAGGAGATAAGAAGAGTGGCTGTGTGTGCGGTCAGTCCAGAAAGTGCTGGAACAAATGCAGCAGCTCTGAAACTTCCTCTAAAGTAAGAGACGACAGCAGCTACGAGGCCGCCGTCACAGCAAGTGTCTGCTGTCTGATCTCAGAGCGCGTGCACAACAGTGCAGCGCTGGCATGTCCACCTAACGTGGATTCACTGCGACGACTCAGCCACATGTTCCCACGGTTCTGAAACCAGCCCACTGAGTGAACAACGGGCTGAGAGGGCAGGTTATGATCATTAATATGCAAAGTGTCATAACCACTGATCAGGTAAGCAGTCCTTGTTTGGTTAGCACAAACACACACAACACTGCAGAGGGAAGGGGAACGAGGCTCACCCACAAACCTGCGTGCAAATCACACACATCAGACGCATCAATACTTCCATACCTGACAGTGTTTACACAAAACGCACAAAAGTGCCTCGTACAGCACAACAATAATGATGATGACATCAAAACCAGAAGGTGTTTAGCCTTTGGATCTAAGAATGCTCCAGCAGTGCTTTGACTTAGTCTGATTTCCTGGCACGATCCCACAGGTCCCTGTGGAGAACCTGACTTCCCCTCACTGCTGTGACTCTGTCAGCTCAGGCTGAAGATCAGCTGCTCGTCTTTCATGACCACGACTCACTTTTTGGGTTTGGTGTTGACCCGAGCGGCAGCGAGTACCTCGGCTAAATTAACAACGTTGGTAGAAATTGTGTTAATATGTCGAGCAGTGAAACAAACTCCTGACATTTCACTGCTGCAGTGCACTAGTGCACGAGCTGCAGTTACACCCAGAGACCTGAAGCAGGACTGATTCACACATGACTGACATTCTGTGGTGCACAGCACAAACGTTCAGGAAACACCACAAAGCTTCACTCATAACTGCACACACAATGATGACAAACACTGCTACACACTCACTACCCACTGACACTCTTCTTCAGTCCACTCATTGGTCAGAGGTGTCTGGGAGGGAGCACCAACAGTCAATACAGGAAGAAGGTGCCGTGTGTCAGCCCACTCGTGTCCTCCAGCACCCCCATGTTACATGTGCTGTTTAACATGTGAATCACTGAAACCGACGCAGTCAAATATCAGCCAGGAGTACACCAGACCAGCAGAAGTGCCCGGTCTACACCTCTGAGCCAGAGTGAGAGAAAACCCAAAATATCTGCACCTTTCTCCACCTTAGTCTTGGCTTTTAAACTCCTGAGCTGCAGGAACTGCACCCTGGAAAAACAACAGTCCAAACATATACAGCACTCATGTGCAGGCAAGCAGGTGACCACAGCTGTACGTGGTAACTCCAAGTGGTGCAGCTTAGTCAGGAACAGCTGGTCTCACCTTGTTGTAGTTCCCAGACTTGATGCCAACAGGAACCTTGCTCTGTGAAACAGAACACAGACCATCAAACAATGATAGGTGACAATGTTCACACAGCTTCCCCCCGAAAATACATTTAATGCAGTATGTGACAGCTAGTTAGGAGGCGGTCGTCTCCATCCTCAACGAGCCGACGTGTGACTGACAGGCAGTAAAAAGAGACCATGTTGGAGTAAGGCTGGCTGACCTCGGGGCAGGGCTCCACGTGGCAGTCTTTGATGGAGCAGTGTCCGTCATCAGGCCAGAAAGGACACGGTCGCTTCAGGTTCACCTGCAGCACAGACACAGACACTCAGCACCTGCTCATTTATTATTACTGTTATTATGACCGAGGCAGGAAGCAAGCAGTGGCTCGTCCACATGTGAAGGACAAGCAGACGCTCGCTGCCTGTCACTGTAGGCTCAATCAGGCTTCAGTGAACGAGAGAAATCAAGGACGAGGGCGTGGCGTGTGAAAGCATCGGCTCCACAGCTGTGCGTGGCTCACATCGTGTTTTTAGACACGCCCAAGTGATGCAGCGAGTGGAGATTTCACAGGGGAAGCAAACGGAGGCCAGTGCCCACTGACTGTGGACAGCTGCTGACGTGCACGTAGGACACACGCTCGTTTCACCTGTAAGCATCCTGCTCACCCCGCCGCCATTCACACAAACACCGTATGATCCAAAGAACACATATTTACTATGATGCGTGTGTGTTACGGTATACTCAGCCACTCCCACCGTGTTTCGTGCTCGCTCACAACGTGAACATATTAAAACCATTACAGACACAAGCCTTTCTGAAGCGTACCAGTCAGAGCACTGGTTACAACACAACTGTGTGTGTGTGTGTGTGTGTGTGTGTGTGTGTGTGTGTGTCACACGGTGGAGATTTGTATTTATCTGGTACATTGCTTTTATTCATTTTTAGTGTTTATTCATGAGAGTAGTTTTTATTTGGGGGTCATGTGATTGTTGGGTGTTTCTCTGTATCTGCTGTACGACACAAAGCGCCTTGAGGAGACTTGTTGTGATTTGACGCTGTGGAAATAAAACTGAATTTGCATGGTTCTATTGTTTTATTTGACTCTGTTTTAGTCCACCGTGGTCTGGCTGCACATGGGACAAATTAGCTGATAGGGATCACCTGCTGAGGTGTGGGCGTGGCCTATCAGCTGGTGAAAGGGCCTGTTTAAAGGAAGCTGGCTGAGCACTGAGGGAGGCCCTGATGTGAAGGGAAGGAACGCGCAGAAGCCAGACGATGGCAACAGTGTGCTGCCCTCTCGTCAGGGGCGTAGCACAGCTGCACCTCTACCTGCGTTTGTGAGCAGTGACTCCACTGCTGTTCACCGGGTGCAGCCGTGTTGGGAGAGGATCGCCATGGCTATAAACCAGGCCAGATTCCCAGACGATGCTTCTCTGCTTGCAGGGCGATGCCACGAGGGAAGACGCTGTGGCAGCGAGCGCGCGGCTCAAGGGCGGAGCATAAGTTGGGCTGTGATGGGACGAGACTGAGATGGGAGGCTTCTCCTCGTCCTCCTGGGACCGGCCTGGAAATGACTCCCCCGGTTTGAAAAATAAAGAAGATTCGTTCTGGGTTGTGGGAGCAGTTGCATCGTGGGACTGAGTGTTATTCTAACGAACTTTAGAAGTTTTGTTAGAATTGTGTTCATGTATATGTTGTTTTTAGGATTGTTTGTTTGATTCTTGTTTTCTGGCCTGTGAATAAACCGTGACCGATTTGTCCTGTAGCATCTCTGGGTCTTGTATTTAAAACAAGAACGTCCTTGGTGTGACGCTCAGGTGCACCGGCTTTAGTGTCTGCATGTTCACGGTGTGCTCTTACTGTGGGAGGACACAGACTACTGAGGTCTAACAGTAAATCATGTTGTGACAACATGTGCCAGTAAACACAAAGACCTGCAAAAAGACAACATGTGCACACACACGCAAAAGAGATCCATGTGATTTCCATCTGTTTTTACATACTACTTTTACTACTGCACTGAGCCACACTGTGCTTCCACTGTAGCCGGAGCGAAGGCGCAGCTCTTACCCTGTAGTATCTGAAGTAGTCTCTCTCTGTCAGCTTCCTGATGCGAGGGTAGATCTTCAAGTTGTTGAAAATGTCGATGCTTTCTACGTCACAGAAGCAGTCATCCAGGACGCCTGTGAGCTGAAGCAAAGCAGGACACTTCGTTTACTAATGACACCTCATCTCTAAATAACAGTGTCACAGTGTTTCCACTCATGCTAAAACAGTAAAAATCATCATAATGTCCGGGTCATTTCAGATGTTTTAAGTGAAGCTGTGTGCTAGAAACTAAAACCTGACTGACGTCACGCAGTACAAGTCAAAGTCTGCACCCTGACGTTTGTTCAAACTCTTACGATCAGTCCAGACTCGGCAGCCTCAGTTTTGCCATGGATGAGATTGAGGCTACGTCCACACTAGCCCGGCTGGATTTGAAAACGCTCCACGTCCACACTGGTGTTTTCAGTCGTTTTCACAGAGGTGTGCGTCCACATTGAAACGGATGAAAACGCTGACGTTCCAGTCCTGCGCAAACGCGAGTGAGAATTAAAGACTTTGAAGGAAAGCTATCTGGAGCATGAACAAACGGATATTCATCCTTTTTAGGGCGACTGCTGTATAATGCCCTCCGCTATCTTAGCTTAATTGGTCACGTGACTGCATCACATGACTAAAATGAGTCATCGTTTTAGAAAGTCTGTTTTCGAGTGTCCACACTGCGACGGGGCAGCTCCCTTTTGAAACGTGTGCGTTTTCAAAACGCTGCGTTTTCCCTTGAGGAAAACGGCGTCTCAGTGTTGACGGGAGGCCAAAACGTTTTAGTGTAGACGTAGCCTGAGAGCACTTCAAAAGTCAGTGATAATAGTTACGCCTTCACTGGGAGATGTAACACCTAAAGACAAAATTACTGCCGTGAAGCTCTTACTTTGACGGGTGACAACAGAAGTGAGCCCTGAGGTAGGCCTGTGCCATATGACCACGATCTCATATCCCGATATAAAACATCTATCATCGCGATAACGATATAAATCACAAACATGGAACATTTTCTGTAAATCCTGTGAATCTTGGGCAGCTCGACTTGTGTGAAATGTTTCCAGCTGTAGCTGGAGGCGAGTGTTTTAACCGATGCATGAAACGATACATTTTTAGTCATAAGTTGTAACGGCGCCGTTTTCTTTGTGAGTATTTATTACACGGCGTGCTGCGGGGAAAAGCCTGTTCTAACGTTTGAGTCTAAGGTTTATTTTTTAGCACCTGGCGGCTCTTTTTGCTTCTCATCCGTAAATAATCTGCTTTTTCACGTGATTCAGTTTATTTTGAAAAGTCTCAACGGGATCTTGAGCTTTATTGTGAAAGGTTCATGTGGAAACTAAACCAGCGGACACACAATGGTTTTACCGTCGTTGTTGCTAACGACAACATGTAAAAACAGGCGCTTGTCCGTCCGTAGTGTGGTTATATTACATATAAGAGAAAGAGAACTTGAAGAAATGAATAATAACTACAGTGACATCAGAACCATGAAAAAATATCGCCGTAAACAGTTTATTTTACGACACCACGAAACAAACGATAGCATAAAATGAAACGATAGATGTTTTTATATCGTCATCCGATATATATCGTTATATCGAACAGCCCTACCCTGAGGGATCTCACATAGGAGAGGAGCAGATGTATAGCTTTTATTCCAAAGTGTCTGTTTGAACACAGTTACAGACACAGCAGCCCACTATTACATCTGTCAGCTGGTCATGTTTTTAAGGAGCAGTAACCATCATCCCGTTCTTAAATGGTCTTCCTGACCGACTGACTCGAGTTAATCTGGGTGAACAGATTCCTGGAAAGATTTTTTTAACCACAGCATGATAGAACAAAACAGTTAAAACACAAGTTCAGCTGAAATGGATCCAGAGACTCAGTTCATAGAGACAGCAGCATTAGCAGGTGCATGCAGTCTCACATCCCTATTTTGGACATTTAGACAGTTGTTCCCTACTTGGTGGGGGTTTTTATGCAGCACTTTGTACGCTTTTGCATGAATTTATGATGGAAAACTGTTGTTTTATGTAAAGGAACACAACACCTGCTACTGTGCTTCTTGTTCTGTGGACACCCATAGATGGCAGCTCTCTTTATAACTTTACAATAAATTAAAACGCTGTAAGAATCTAAAGTGCGCCTTGTTAGAAGACATTACAGTTGCTGTCAAGTCTTTTTGTGGCTTCGCCTGCTCTTATCAATGAGCCACGTTTGCTTTGGCAAACATTTAGGATACCGTTCCTGACACAACCCCCACCCCCAGGTAGGGTTCACATTTCTGATAAAGACTGGATTGTAATTTTGCTGCTGTTACAAATTTATAATCATGTTATAGAAATGACATTAAGAAAATAAGAAAAACTATTAGGATCAGGTGATGATGCTCCTCCATCAGATAAACCACCACCTACCTGCACGTTCATACATAATACATCCATCACACTGTGTTACCTGAACCCACCAAGCCGACGGCCCATTGTCTGCTCTATAAACCGTCAGCTGCTGACTAAAACCTACAAATGTGTTTGAACTGAAGAATTACACAACCCAGCATTCACATGTTAAGAAGCTTGGTAAACAGTCAGTCAAATGGCTCTGGCTAGTTTTGTTAGGTAGCTCAGCTCTGTGCACAGCAGGTAGAGCCTCAAACCTCACCAAACATCTGCTCTAACTGGCTGGAGAACAGGTCCGGACACTCTTTCGGTTCATTTAGCTCATGATTAGAGTCTCAAATGCTTCATTAATACTTTAGTCTGGAAATTAAGAGAAAATGAAACATAAATAAAATGTTATTAACAAAATATCCAATGCAATGATTCCTCAATACTGAGTAAAGATGGACATTGTATTGTTTGGGGGCTTTTTTGCATTTAAATAAATAGTGTGTGTGTGTGTGTGTGTGTGTGTGTGTGTGTGTGTGTGTGTGTGTGTGTGTGTGTGTGTGAGCGAGAGAGAAAGTTATTCGAACCAAAACCGAACAAGTACTTTACAAGTATGTAGTTGTAAAAACTTGTAAAGTACTTTCACATTCTTTATATTTCACAACAGGCTTTTCCTTTTCAAGCTATCAAAGATATGACCGTACAAAACATATGGCAGCAACTGCTCAGCTCTGCAAAGAGCAGTACACCTAAACTACGTGCGGGTATTTTAGAAACCTTTGTAAACCCTTTACACTAGTATTATATATACTTATATATACTACAGAAACACAAAGACAATCTTACTGTGACAAAAAACTAATGACAAACACCAAACCACAGCAGACCTCAGAGTGCAGCAATCCACTGAGCGCCAGGAAAAGAACCATTTTTCTCAGCATCCTGTTGTTCGCCTTCAGCTTTCTGTGTCTCAACTTCCTTCAAATTAAAACTTCCCCCTCACGTAACTGTCCAAATGTCACGGCAGCAGCTGTATGTCTGTGCTGTCATCACAGACCCGCACTTCCATGCCCGCCAGAAGCCCCGCCTACAAACAAGCCGCTGTCAAAACAAACGCCGCCCCTCTGACGGAGCCTCCCTGTTTGTAGTCATCTACATGTTATAGGTCGCTAGGGACACTTGGCAACTTCTACGCAAAAGACTACAATGTCCGTGAGGAGGCTGTAAAGCGGGAGCTCTGACACAGCCAATCAGATCACACCACGCTTTTCGCTCAACTCGCAAGAACTTCGGCTGGTTTAACTCGCTGCTGGGTCCGAGGAGAGGAAGAAGAGGAGCGCTCTCGACTCTGCTCATTAGTCTACTTTAAGGACTTAACTCACTGTTCAGTACAAACAAGAAGAGATTTCGGTTTAAATACCAATTTAGTCGGTCAACTGTAACTATATCTATTTATTTATCAAAATGGCAGAAAATAAAACAATTTGTGGACTCATGGACAGTCGCTAACTAGCATCTCACGTACATAGTGACGTCAAAATAAAATGACAGTAGAAAGTGCTGGAAGCTCCTAAAAACAAAACTGTGGTATGACTTTCGCAGATTACAAGCTTCATGAAGAACAACAAACTATGTTATTAAAAAAACAAACTGTATGTTTCCGGTGACAAAAGCTCCGTGTTTGGGGCTACTTACGTGACAGAAGCAGCTCTGGTCCTGGCTCTCCGAGGTTCTGCTCGGATGCTGCTCGCTGTGCTGCGTTTGGGGTTTGGTGTTTTGCTGAAACCAGCCCAGAACAAAGTTTCCCAACAACCACGCCAACAGCAAAACACCGAACGCTTGAAACGTTACTTTCCACATCACTCACTGCGCTATCAGCTTGGAAAGCACAAGAAAGTCAAACCTGGCGAGTAGTAGCTAGCTAACTATAGCAGCTTTAGGCTAGCAGAAATGTATCATCCGCAGCGTGTCGCCAAACCAACAGCCCGATCTCCAAGGAGTCTCGCGTGGATATTTAGACTCCTAGCTGCCCCACGTAAACAGAGTCATGTTGTAAAAAAATTTACATGACTTAAGAGGCGCTTTCAACCAGCCTCCACTTTATTTTCAAGGTAGCGCAAGAAAAATGACTTTTACTTCCGGTTAAAAATTTCAGAATAAAATGCATAACTCGCTCTTGCAGCTATAACAGGTCGATCTCAATCGGAGCCAAAACACGATCCTTTTTTCCCCTAAACAGTAAATTAATATAACATAAAAGAAACAATGGAAAACTTCTTAAAACCAGCTACACAAAAGACAGCGTTGTCTTCCTGTGGGAGTGTCGCCACTTTGCGTGCGTTTGGAGTTGTTGTAGGGTGTGTCTGTTAGATTAATAGACTGGTTTTTACAAAGCGCTTTTCTACTCTGCCTGAGCTCTTACTTTATACAACATGTCTCCTTCACACGCAAACATACAAGCAGGATTTTCCAAGCCTGACGCTTTCTATGTGGGGTGTAGCTCAGGAGGTAGAGCAGCAAGAGCATAGATTTGGTTTGGGCATTGGTGGGGACGGATGATTCAACCACCGAACCCTGCCCTGTTTTTGTTTTTCCTTCTTGATTAACAAAAAAGGAGAAATATACTTGCCTACATATGCTATTCTACATGCTTTTAAACCATTTAAAATTACAATTCATAGTTTTATATGTGAATTATATAATGTTAAAGTACTATTAAACAAACGACTGAGTATTTCAGGCTTTAGTTTACTTCAGCCATATTCCATATAAATCAGGTATCATACAAAAATAAAAATAGCTTCAAATACAGTCATGACAATAAAAGAATATGACTTTAAGGACTTAACAACATTACTTCAGTTATAGTACACCAACATCTCTGATACATTAGCACTAAGGGAACACTGAGTGACCTGCTGGTTTTTGTCCATAAAACTACTCGTCTAAGATGACCACAAAGTAAAAGATCTCTCAGCAAAATGATGCAACGTTTGAGGCACTATTGCCCCGATTAACTCAGTGAGCTGCGATCTTTTATTCTAAACATGAGCTACTGTTACAGCAACAGACATGGACTACATGCCCCACACAACAACTCAATGTCCACTATGTGAAGCAGCCAAACACAGGCCTGCTCCTCTCACTAACTGAGATAAACTGCTGGCATATTGGTTTTACATCTATACTGTCCAGTCTCTCCTGGTGGACATGGCAACACGTTATTCATGGTTACATACAGTTTTGATGTGGGCCAAAGCCTAGCATAGCCTGTAACGTTATTGTTGTGTTGATAGGAGTTATGTGGGTAGTTCAGCTTCACCACTAGGGGGCTGTCTAACTAAATTGTGATATATACTGTGTCGTAGAAGCAGCGGCAGGTTATGTTTACGTACATGGATGTGAGCCACGTTAAAATAAAGAAGCTTGCTAACTACTACGGATGTTTTATTGAAAACACGACAATTGTGACACATTTTATGAGTGAACTTGGCTTTAAGTGACTTACAGGTTTCTTTGAAAAACACTTTCTTATATCCAGCTTCTTCCTCTTTGCTGCCGTCCTCCTCTCCTCCTCGCAGCGCAGGTTTGCCGCTGCTGAAACTAAACAGAGCTCCCTGAAAGGCTCAGCCAATCACATTGGCCATATTTGTCACATGACGTAGGACTCCAGTAGAGGTGATTTAACTCTTTCTGCTCCGCTGGGTGAATGAGACGCTGACAGATCGTTTTTCTTTCTATCGGGTTTGTTTTTCTTTACTCGAAGAGATCAAATTATTGGTGGGGACGTGTCCCTTCCGTCCATGACAATCTACGCCCTTGTAGAGCAGGTTACCTACTGTCATGTTCGGAGGCAATAAGACGCAGGGTTCTCAAGCACGAACCACTTTTTATTCAATTGTAGCAGCAGTGTACGTGGCTACATCAATTTCTGGAAAACACAAATACCGCCAGTCTCCTAGCGACCTCTAGTGGCTGCCCTCATGGTAGCCTTACTAGGACAACATAAACAGATTTCACAACATCTCCCCCTTTAACAAAAGTACTTTAAACATAAAACAGTGTTGTCAGAACACAGGACATCACAGGGGTAGACTACCCTCAGTCCTGATAAGGGATTATTCTGCCCTTAGAACATAGAAAGGAGATAGTCCTCAGTCTCTGAATCTGAGAGG